CCAAGAAATGTCGATGTCGCCCTCCTGTTAGTGCAATGCAAACAATTAGGGTGCAGTTATTAAAATATTTTACGCCCATAGCGTCTTCACAGCCTCTTTATCTAGGTTATGAATATTTTTGTATTCTACAACGCAGCTCTCCTCTCAGTATCTTCTATTCCTCAGGAAAATTACGTTTTCACTATAGGAGTAGCTGTTAGACTTCTTTAGTAACTTAAGTATTTATTGATATTAAATTTAAAGCTGAAGAAAAGAACAATTTTTCATTTTTACGTATTTTTAAACTTACCTTAATTACACATAACATAGTGTCTGTTGAAGCATTTTTGGTTTTAATATTGATTAAATGGAAAGCCTTCATATATTTTATATACTTCCATAAATTAGTAGTATAGTCGAATATTTCATCACAAAGAGCTTTGCACGGACCGCCAACTGGTTTCCAAACCATATTTATCGATTTAAAACCTTATGCTAATTTTTTAGCTATTCGAATCATTCTGCCAAAGCAAATCACAAAGTATAGTCAATTGATAAAAGCAAAATATAGCAACGTGTACATTTTCACTAAAGGTTCACGACACAAAGAACAACTGTAACATTTTTAAAACTTGATGAATGTACATTGTAATTTTGAATAACTCGTTGGTCTACTGGTCGTGAGTTCAAAAGGATCCCAATAATGGATTTTGTCCCGATTTTGCTGTCAAGATTCGCTGCATCAGCCCAGAGTCGGGAAAATGGCAGATTTTTTACCCCTGTGCCTCGGAAACACGTCAAGACTGAAGGCTTTTCCGCAAAATCCTTAATCAATCCCGCCCGAGCAGTCGCCTGATCTTTGCGCTCGGGCGGGATTGATTGTGAGAGTGAGGGCGTAGAGAGAGGACCTATGATTAAAGACACTCGTGCACTATAAATCTGTCTACCGCAAATGGATAGTCTCCATTGAGACTGGCCTGAATAACTTAGACTGTCAGGTATTCGGCCTGGAAGACATTATTGTTTTATTATTATCTTCAGCAGTGGACACGTAGGCTTGGTACAGCAAATGATGATGATAATTAAAAATAACAACATACAATGATTACGGCCATAACGAAATTCAGTCTGGACGACATTAAGATTGTATTTTGTAGTTACAATTTTATTTTGATTTAATGGGTATTTATAAATGTTCGATTTACAAATGAAAAATTCGTGTCCGATTTGGTGATAGTACGATTTAGCAGATTCTTTGGGAGCGTCGTTTTAATATATAAATGAGTTTTATGATATCCTTAAGAGTTTGTTACAACCACGTGCCATACAACGCTGGCGAGTCGTGAGCTTGGCCCATCGATTTACAAATCGCAGTTTCGCGATTGTCCACCAACTTTACTAGTGAGCCACCAAGACCGCAATAAAACTCAGAGGTGACTATGGAGAATCCCAGAATGATTTCATGGCTTCTTTATAGATAACATCTCGTTTATTCTAGTTGTAAAATAACCAGACTCTTGAAGGAGAGCAGTGCCAAAGGAGCGACAGGTCTTCGATCGCTAATTTGCCGCGTGTGATTATTGAAGCCAGTCCTCTCTACCGGGCGGATGCTATCCAGTAGAAGATTTTTATGTGCTATAAAGAAAGAAGAGATGAGAGAGAGAATCAGCTTATTTTATTAAGCATCGTTGATCGTGGATAGATACTTTATACTCCCTAAATAAAGCATTAGTTATATCGAAATAGCAAATATATTAAATACATTTATCAAACAAAATAATTTTTAAAATACCATCATTATATCATCATTACAGCCTCTCATAAGTCCACTGCTGAACATAGGCCTCACCCAAGGAATGCCACAAAGCACGGTCCTGAGCCACCTGCATCCATTGACTTCCTGCATGTCTTACCAGGTCGTCACTCCATCTCGTGGGGGGTCGCCCTACACTTCGCCTACCGGTACGAGGCTGCCACTCAAGAACCTTTCTTCCCCATCGGTCGTCGGTTCTTCGAGCTATATGGCCGGCCCACTGCCACTTCAGCTTACTAATCTGTTGGGCTATGTCGGTCACTCTGGTTCTACTGCGGATATCCTCATTTCTAAGTTTATCACGCAGAGAAACTCCGAGCATAGCCCTCTCCATAGCTCGCTGAGCGACCTTGAGCTTCTTCATACCGCCAGCAGTGAAGGACCACGTCTCAGATCCGTAAGTCATCACTGGCAACACGCACTGGTTGTATAATTTCGTTTTAAGGTTTTGAGGAATATCTGACGAGAAGATGTGTCGTAGTTTCCCGAACGCTGCCCAGCCGAGATGAATCCGTCGATTGACCTCTCGGTCGAAGTTGGACTTACCTAGTCGGACTATTTGTCCCAGGTAAACATACTCGTCAATAACTTCGAGCTTAGTGCTCCCAACAACTACCGGCATAGGTGTGACATGGACATTGAACATAATCTTTGTTTTGTTCATGTTCATATTAAGATTACATTGTGCTTAGATCCTCCAGCGATTCTGCCATAAGGACTATATCGTCGGCAAATCGAAGGTGAGTGATGTACTCGCCATTGATGTTAATACCGTATCCTTTCCAGTCCAGAAGCTTGAAAACGTCTTCCAATGCAGCGGAGACGAGTTTCGGGGATATAACGTCACCTTGTCTTACACCTCTCTGCAATTGGATAGGTTTCGTACTCTGGTTCTGTACTCGGATAGCCATCGTAGCCCTACTGTACAAGCACTTCAGCACTTCGATATACCAACAGTCAACTTGGCACCGCTGAAGGGACTGCAGCACCGCCCAAATTTCGACGGAATCAAAAGCTTTCTCATAGTCCACATACGCCAGGCATAGTGGCAAATTGTACTCCTCAGACTTCTGTACAACTTGCCGAAGGGTATGTATGTGGTCTATGGTGCTAAAGCCTTTTCGGAAACCGGCTTGTTCGGTAGGCTGGTAGTCGTCAAGTCTGCGCGCGAGACGATTCGTAATGACTCTCGAAAACAGCACGTAGACGCGGCTCAGAAGGGAAATCGGTCGGTAGTTCTTCAAGAGAGTGTCGTCACCTTTCTTGAAGAACAATACCACCGCACTTCTGCTCCACGCCTCCGCTGTAATGCCACCATGGAGGACGGAATTAAAGAGCCTCTGAAGGACTTCAAGTACCGGTTTTCCACCCGCTTTCAGAAGCTCCGCTGTAATTCCATCCTCGCCTGGGGCCTTGCCGTTTTTAAGGTGCTGGAGAGCCATTCTAATCTCGCTCAGACTGACGTCCGGGATATCATCGGAATAATGTCGGATAAGACTCGCTCTTGGATCGTTACTCACATTTGCGTGTGGCTCCAACGATGACGTGTACAGCTGCCCATAGAACCTCTCAATCTCATTCAAAATCTCAAGTGCCCCGGAAACGATGCTGCCACACTCGGTCCTCAGCTTTGACAGTTAGCTCTTTCTGTCAGACAGATCTCTGGCAAAGACTTTGGAGCCTTGGTTCCGCTCGATCGCTTCTTCAATACAAGCTGTATTGAAGTTGCGTAAGTCCCGCCGCATGCATTTGGAGATCTGTCTGTTCAGTTGTCTGTATGCTGTCAAATCTGTTGAAGAATGTAGCTTGATCTCCCGTCTAACAACCATGAGATTAAGAGTGTGATCGGAGAGTTTTTGTGTTCTTCTGCGGTGGGTCTTGCAGAACTTAGCTCCGACCGCATGGACAGTTTCCACGAGCTTGTCATTCATATCGGTCACTTCATTGCAGTTTTCTAGGCACTGAAAACGGTTTTGTAACTCGAGCTGAAAGGATTCAGGACTTTGGAACAGAGCACGAGGGGGACGGAGCGTTAACTTCATTAGACGAGACCTCTCCAACTTAACGTTTAGGTTCAGTGGGCCTCTAACCATTCGGTGATCGCTACCAGTTTTCACCCTCGCGATCACAGAGACATTACTGAACAGTTGTCGTCTGGTCGTCATAATGAAGTCAATTTCATTTTTTGTCGAACCGCCGGGGCTCGACCAGGTCCACTTCCTGTGGGGCCGCTTCTGGAAGAAAGAGTTTATCATAGAGAGTCCCTCTTTCTCCATGAAGTCGGCCAGCTGCTGGCCCCTTGGGTTCCGTTGCCCTATTCCAAATTTCCCTAATTTCAGCTCACCGTTCTCTCTTGTGCCTAGTTTTGCATTGAAGTCTCCCATTAACACCGTATATTGGGTTTTGGAGGAGTGCATGGCTCTAGAGATATCCTCATACATTTCCTCCACCTCCTCATCGGGGTGTGTCAAGGTTGGTGTGTAAACCTGTATGACCTTCAGCGAATACCGTTTGGTGATTCTGAGTATAAGGTACGCAACCCTCGTCGACACACTTTCGATCTTTACAACGTTGTTAACGAGAGACTTGTGGACGATAAATCCGACACCTCCTTGGGACAGACGGTCGCCCTCCCGATGATAGAGCAAGTTGCCGGATTCGGGGATTAGAGTGTCCTCCCCCTCTATTCGGACTTCGGATAATCCTACAATATGCCAGCGTGACTTGTCTATCTCTTCTTCCAGCTCCACTATCTTCTCGTCAGTCCTCAGGGTGCGTGCGTTGTATGTAGCCAGGTCGAGTCGTCTAAGGTGGCATCCGAACCTCCACCGGAGATTCTTAGCACCCCCTGCCCCGCCGTTACCATGGTCGCCTCCGTAGCCAGGAAAATCAGGGCCGCCGGGGACTGGGGGCCGTCTCTTTGTTACACTCTTCATAGGGGGGTATTTGCCATAGTTGTCACGCTTGGCGAGGGGGTTGGCATCCGCAGTTTTTTTTGTAATTTCGGCTACTATCAGGAAGATGCTGCTGCCCATCTCCTGCCTGTTTCCTTTTGTCGCCTTTTACGACACCCACGGGAAGATATGGGGTAGTGGATATTCTTGACCGCCACTACAGAATTTAATATACCAACTGTATATTTATTAACGGCAAGTGTTATTTTTGTCAGGTTTGTTGACATCGCGATTGTTCTACTTTTGTCGTAACAATGGGTAAAGAGAAAACTCATATCAATATCGTGGTCATCGGTCACGTCGACTCCGGCAAGTCGACCACCACCGGTCATCTCATCTATAAATGCGGCGGTATCGACAAGCGGACCATTGAGAAGTTCGAAAAGGAGGCCCAGGAAATGGGTAAAGGCTCCTTCAAGTATGCTTGGGTAAGTATACAAGGCTCTAATTATAATCGTTTTTCATATTTTTTTCCGTTACACAACAAATTAACTTGAGATGAAGTTGGTCAACATGTTATTTCGGTTTATCATTGCATAGAATTACTTGCGTAGCATAACTTCCAACTTTTTATAATTTTAAGAGTTTCAGGGATGATATGAAGGAAGCCATTCAATTCCAAGGATTATCATATTAGAGAAATATAGTACCAAATTTATTTCTAAGAGATAAATTACTAACATACGTATACATACACTGACATTAAGATAAATACCAGTGTTAGTTTTGAAAGTACTTACTAAGTTCATATAATTTTATTTTGCAACCTAGGTACTGGACAAGTTGAAGGCCGAGCGTGAGCGTGGTATCACCATCGACATCGCTCTCTGGAAGTTCGAAACCTCGAAGTACTATGTGACCATCATTGACGCTCCGGGCCATAGAGACTTCATCAAAAACATGATTACCGGTACCTCGCAGGTAAGTGAATATAGCTACAATAAAGTCATTAGTAAACTGGATCTTGCGTTTGATTTTATTCCTAAAATATCTTGTTTTGTTTATGTACGAGTACATTACATTACATTTGTAATTCATTATAATAAAATAAATATTGATAATAGGTAACGTACACGTACCTAAGTCTATGTGAGCAAAAATATTATTAAATCTATCAATCATGGTATATATCATTGGTAAACAGCCAACCTGCAACTATTATAGATATCGGATTAATTCCAGCCGTAAAGTTTCGCCATCGTATACTGCGACAGAATTCTAAACACGCACATCATCTCTATGGTTGGCAATCCACTACCGCGCATTTCACTAGAAATTTTTTGCCACACACGAACACATTGTGGAATTTACTGTCGCCAGCGATTTTTCCGGTCTGATATGACACAGGGACCTTCAAAAAAAGAGCCTTCTTCGTGATTATATACGATAATTCAATGTAGATTCTTATGTAGAGGCTTAATGCTATGCTTAATGATACAAGGCATTCCATCTTAACCCTCAGGGGTGGCAAACGCTCTCTGCATCTGCATCTTGATTCTTAATCAAGGATTTATGTAGATGTCTATGGGCCACAGCAACCACTTAACATCAGGTGGACTGTGTGCTCGTTTGTCACCCTTATCCTATAAAAAAAAACGTCGCCGGTTCTGGCTTCGAATACCACCCAAGATTTATGCAAATATACAAATTGTTGATTTTCTTGTCTAGTTATGAATATATATATATATCTGCTAGCCTTCCTCCGAACTTATCGTAAAAGCGTTACATTGAGCACGGCTCGGTAGGATGTGTGAGTGAGTCTGTATTGAAGTTTAATGGTCCTAATATATTTTGCATAGTTGATAGCTTTCGAATATTCAGAAGTTGTCAAAGTGATCCAGATTCCGCCAAGAGGGCATGAATGGTATATGTTGTAATTTATCATCATTACAGCCAAGCCAACATGTCCACTGTTGATTATAATAATAAAATAATGTCCTCCAGACCGAATTTCTTTCACTGCTGGCCGCATGAGGAAGCTCAAAGTTGCTCAGCGTCAAAAAGGGCAATGCACGGAACTGCTCTGCGGGTAAAATCCGTAACGGGTATACCCGCTATAGAACAAGGGTAAACTTATGCTATATATATATGTACCATAGTTCGTTCAGATGTTAAGCAATATTATTTGCGCAAAGATATTAACTTACTGGACAAGTGCGGGTGAATGTAGGCACTTCTTCTAGGAGATGCATTCTAGCTGACGCAATCTTGTAAATGACTAAAAAATTTGCATGTGTAAAAAGTTGTATGTGTAAAAAGTGTGATGATGAGATGATGTTGATTGACCAGCGTTTAGTGAAGTAGTAATGAAGTAGTATAATATAGTACACGCAGTTGAGGGAGGGCGGGAGGTGCTCTTCAAACTAGGTTTCTATTTTATTCTATTACGTGGATCTTAACAATTTAATTTTTAACAACTTTAATATAATGGATTTTCGCAAAGTAACGCCGGATTCAATTAACACGTCATTTTCTCTACAGGCCGACTGTGCCGTACTGATCGTAGCCGCCGGAACTGGCGAGTTCGAAGCGGGAATTAGTAAGAACGGCCAAACCCGCGAACATGCCTTGCTCGCCTTCACGCTCGGCGTGAAGCAACTGATCGTCGGCGTAAATAAGATGGATTCCACTGAACCACCGTACCATGAGGCTCGCTACGAAGAAATCAAGAAGGAGGTGTCCTCCTATATCAAGAAGATCGGTAAGTAATTTAAAAAAAACTTATCATCATCTATCATCACAACCCATCAAAAGTCCACTGCTGAACATAGGCATTTCCCAATGAATGCCACAAAACAGGTTTTGAGTCACCTGCATCCATTGACTTTCTGCATATCTTACCAGATCGCACTCCATCTAGTGGGAGGCGGCCATTTTTTTTTCCATAGAAAACGGGGACAATCGAGCATGCGGGGCACCTGATGGTAAGTGTCGACCGCCGGCTGTGTACAACTGCAACACTAGGGGGACTGCAGGTGTGTTGCCAGATACATCATGCGACTATGGGAAAGCTCAGAAAGATTCAAACTTCCAACAAATGATGTTTCCTGAACGATGACGATGAGTAGCGTCACTGGTGAGAGAACTGGACGCTTGTAGAACTGCGATTACAAACCTGCCTGCCAATCGTAGCAACTGTGGCAAATCCTTCTTAACATTCAGAAAAATGTAACACGTAGAAAAAAATTTACACCTTTATATTTAAATCATCGATCACGTACGCACCTTAAAAGTTAAATTCGTCCCATAAGGCTATAACCCTGCCACGGTGGCGTTCGTGCCGATCTCGGGCTGGCACGGGGACAACATGCTGGAGCCGTCGGACAAGATGCCTTGGTTCAAGGGGTGGACCATCGAACGTAAGGACGGCAAGGTTGAGGGCAAGTGCCTCATTGAGGTGAGCATTGAATTTATTTTCAAAAGATGTGATTTAATGTGATGATGTGATGATTGTCTATGGTATATGGGTATGGTATTAAGGGCCATTCATTAATTACATAAGGATGATTTTGGCAATTTTTGACACACCCTACCCCCATGTAAGGGTACATAAGATTCCTCGAACTCCCTCTTCTTCTCCTCCCTTACTCCCTTCCTCCTCTCCTCTTGAACCTCCTTCTTCTTACGTAAGATTCTATAATTTTTATTTAGATTAGATTATATATTTTATTTATGGAAAAATGTACTATAATTAATATTTATAACATTTAAAATGTATAAAAATAAGTACATTTAAGATTTTAAAATTTTGATAAAAATAAAAAAATAATAAAAAAATTAAAATAAGATGTAAATCGAAGTGTAGACTTGAAGATAACTTATACGACAATGATAACGATTAATTCGGCATCCGAAATGCACCTAGATTTTTAATATTAAATTTCGACTTATAAAATATTACGTAAGAATCGCCCTCCCCCAAGATAAGGGTATGTAGAGATTTTTAACCCCTCCCCCTCCACCTCGGGATCCGTACGTAATTAATGAATGGCTCCTTACCATATCGATTATAAATGTAACATCACTGGAAACTTGTGACTAGATTTCTTAGTAAATTATTATATTTTTATGAGTCAAGGTGATAATCTCGCAGCCGACCATATATTAAGTGGAATTTGTGGTATTAAGGATAAAAGATCATCGGTCACGGCGCATACATGCTGCGACCTGGCTATAAAATATCGCGAACATGACTAGTGTATGGATTAATCCGTTCTCCTAGGCACAATCTCAATCCTAAATTGAAAATATATTATTTAAAAGCCGAGGATCATAGAACGTTACACTTATGTATTTCGTCCCTTTTGAGGTTATGATGTAATAAGCCTGCAGCCATGACTACAACCTCAGCTAAAACCATTGACATGAAAACTATACACTAATATATACTGGCTAAAACCACTAACATAAATCATTATTGAAATAGTCTTTCTAATCTTTTTACTGTTATATGCATTTAAGACATATTTGACATTTTGTGTTTTTTACCACTACTGGCTAAGATATCTCAGTCTATACAGTCTATCTGGAAGTGGCTTATTTTATAAAATATTTACAATATGTTGATGCCTCACATGCTAAGTTTTTATGATTTTAAAGACAGCTTAAAAGACAAAAGACATCTAAAAATGATGTCATTGATATTGCACTACAAAAATAAATAAAAAATCTACAATAAAATCCAGTACTTAAAAAAAGTAAACGCATTATGTGTTACTTTAGTATTATGATGAAACGTGTACTACAGATAAAAACAAGACGGGTTTAGATGCGTTCAAAACTTATAAAAAGTAGTAAGGAAATGAGGTTTTTATTACAAAGCTAAATTATTTTACCGGCTCCAATAAAATAAGCTGGACCCCGTAATTTAATATACACCCAAGTCACTATTTTTTGACGTATCAATCATTGGTGGTCGTTTCATATTATTGTCAGGTCGTATTTGACCGATGTTCTTTATGTAAATCTTGGAGTAGAACAGCATTAAAATAGCATAGCTATTGTTTTCGTACGGTAAAAGGTGACGATCCGAAACCCCTTTTCTGGTAAAGAGGCATTGTGTCTTTATCCTCTGACCACATACTGATCTGTATTTAGATTCTTAATCGATGTAACGTACAGGTTTATGGTCCACTTAAAATCATACATATTGTGATAGGCTCTGGACGCGATCCAGCCTCCGTCCCGTCCCACGGAGAAGCCGCTGCGGCTGCCGCTACAGGACGTGTACAAGATCGGCGGCATCGGCACAGTGCCTGTCGGCCGCGTTGAGACCGGTATACTCAAGCCCGGTAAGCGCATGCTGTTCACTTAATCACATAATCATAAATTACGTTACCGTAGCACGGAGTACATCGACTCTTGATTTCTCGAAACTGAACAATATACCTAGTTATAGATTATAAAGTAACCAGAACTTTAAAACACTTTTCAGCTTATAGCTTTTTTAACGTTGGTAAGTAAAACTATGTTGATATATTATTATTGTCACATACTGTTAGTAAGAAGAGGAATCAATTGCCTTTTTTATTTGTTTATGAATAGAGCTCATGATGTTACCGATGAAAGGACTCGCCTTGGATTTCTTGGGAGTAGGTGATGGTCCTTTGCAAGTCCACTTCACTTACGTAGCTTCTTGGCAGTTGATAATAGTTCTTTACACTTAGCTTACGTAACTTTTGTATGTAAGTTAGATTTTGACGAAACAAAGTTACGTAGAAGCAAATTTTGGCGAAGCCACGTTTCGTCCATTGTTATAAATGAAGCCAAAAACGATTAGGAAATATTGCCACAGTTTCAAAAAGCTTTGAGAAATATTCAGTTTTATTTCTGCGTATCGGTAAGCTTTCTAGGAATCCAGTGTGGATATCTTTTTCATCCACAAGCGTTTATGTAATGATATGTTTATATGCACACTATCGGTCGAAAGTTTTGTTTCTTCAGATATAAACACACGACGATCTGCTAAAATAAATTTTTCTAACCTTTTAAACTAATTGTTCGGACAATGATATCATAGGGCGTCCAGAACGAGTTTTTTTATGTGGATGTTCTTTTACGTTCAAATTCGCAGCGCCACCAACCTGTAAGTGCAATCTTGTTTTGAGTTGTTCCGTAGTGAAATTTTTCAAACAAAGATACTTAATAATAGTGCAAAGCTTATTTTTTTTTCACTTTCGCCAGTTTGCTACATCAAACCGCAAACAAATAACTTATTTTTTTAAAAGAGAAGATAATATCAATTATTTTTACGTGTCTTACAGAATAATCTAGCTTTACAATCCAGTATTTACTTTTAATATTCCAAAGACTATACCGCATTCTCATTTTTTTAACGCCTCGCGTTTATCGGTAATTGTCAGTTTTCTCATATCGAAAGCCCACTAATTAGGGAAATACCCATGTCCAGATGTGGACTGTGGACAGAGTTTTAGAATGATTGGCTGTTAATAATGAAGAGTTAATCCATTTGTACACAGGTATGGTCGTTGTTTTCGCGCCCGCTGCCATCACGACCGAGGTGAAGTCTGTGGAGATGCACCACGAGGCGCTGCAGGAGGCCATGCCCGGCGACAACGTTGGCTTCAACGTGAAGGTAACCGCACTCGTGTGACACAGCCTTTGTTCTATGCCATATTAATATGCCGAGAAGTCGCACTTGATAATATTGATGGCAAGAATTGCAAAGCAGCTGGCACCTTGTTTCATTAACTGGTTTCCGGCGTCGTATACAACTGGGAGAGTATACTTGCATAAAACATAGATTGTTGGTTTTCAGAAATCAATGTGTCTCTCGTGTAAATGTCACTCTATTTCTAATTCCATAGGAGCCTTTCTCATGCGAAAAAAAGATTACAAATTTGTGAGCCTCTGATTTTCTAAAAAAGCTTGCTCTTTGATATACTTAGAACTCGACTTGAGGCTATTAATACTTATTTGTTTTAAAGAATTTCAAGAATAAATAATTTTCTTTGGCTGTCGTATTAATACAAAATATTTTTGTACAGAACGTATCGGTGAAGGAGTTGCGCCGTGGCTATGTTGCAGGGGACTCCAAGATATCTCCTCCCAAGGGGGCTTCTGACTTTACTGCTCAGGTATAGTTTATATTTAAAAGTAACAACTAAAACTGAATGAAATTCATTAAGTTTACTAAATTTGACATAATTAATTTGTTTGATGAATTCCACACTAAATGTGATCAGGTGATTGTGCTGAATCACCCGGGACAAATTAGCAACGGCTACACGCCAGTGCTGGACTGTCACACAGCTCACATCGCCTGCAAGTTTGCCGAGATTAAGGAGAAGTGCGATCGCCGTACCGGTGCGTATGTCCGACATACGACACACATTATATTATAACATAATGCATACCATACCACATAATACTCTTTTACATCCATAAATATTACACACCACACGTGACATAAATACATATAACGCTACACGCAAACATACTGTACAGTGTGTACACCCAAGTAACTAAAGCTGAACGCACACTTGTCAGCAACGTACACGCCGTACGTGCCGTACACGCCGCATTTTACTGATGGCCTCGAACATTTGCACGTACGAGCCGTTCGCACTGTACGCAAATCTTTTGTATTACCAACAACTTTTACAGTTTTTTTTCCAACCATTGGTGTGAAACGGTACAGGACATTGATCGCTCGGATCAATATGGACATGGAATATGGAAAAAATAATGTAATAGCCTGCTTATTAGCAGAGGAAAAAGAAAATAAAATTCGAAGAAAAAGAAGATTCTGTATTCATAATATTAATTTAAAAAGGCAGATGTATGGAGAATATTATACTTTTTGATTTTTTAGATATATACATTTTAACATACAAGAATATCAATAGCATAGGAATACAGAAGTATTGAGACAGTAATCACAAAAGTCACTAATAATATTAAATACTCCTGAAATGAACTAAAAATATAATTTGAAACGAAAGTCGAAACCACCAGTTTTAGTAGAAAATCCACTAAGTTGGCAACATTAGACAACACTGAGTACCAGCACGCGCCGAACGCGCCGCGTTATATGACGTGATCAGCATGCGTCCTTCAATATTTGGATACCTACCTCATTTTATATAATTTAAAGTTAAAAATTTAATACAACCGACTTCAATATAAAATATTAAGAATAACTCAAAAACTATTGGTCAGACCTTGATCAAATTTATGTGGGACTATATAAGAAGCATCAGCTTTCTAATAAAAAAAGAATCATAGAAGTCGGTTCAATGAGAAAAAGGTTATAAGGTAACACACATAAAAATAAAAATAAAAATAAAACATACAGTTGAATTGAGTACCCGCTCGTTTTTGAAGTTGATAGAAAGTTCGGCGCGTACGGTGCAGGTGTAATGTTCGAGGTTTGATATGATTTCATACAACGAATTCTAAAATGCAGCGCGTACGGCGCGTATGGTGCTGACAAATGTGCGTTCAGCTTTAAAGTTAGAAACATAATACACTTTACACCCTTAGCTAGAATACTACACTGATCACACATACAAGCTACATATAACACACATAGACACATTATACACGACTAACGAGTATAACGCACTACACGCAATTACGTAGTACTATTATTTATTCTGTGACGCAACATAGTAAAGTGGAAAGTAAAACACACATAACATACTACAAGCACAAAATAAAGGGAGCAAATTATAAAATATTGCTACTCTATCACACACGACATAAACGGGCTGCACGCAAGATAAAGTAGAAAGCACAGACTACTAAGAGGATACTGCGTATGTAGAAAGTAAAGTTACAGCCTATACTACTTACAAACTTACACACCCCTAAAAATCCTGTCCGATCTGTAGGGGTGTGTTTAGGTATCGTGATGATTCATCATCATCATCATTACAGCCCTTCACAAGTCCACTGCTGAACATAGGCCTTCTCCAAGGAATGCCACAAAGCATGGTCCTGAGCCACCTGCATCCATCGACTTTCTACATTATTTACCTGCTCGTTACTCCATCTAGTGGGGGAACGCCCTACACTTTGTCCGCCGGTACGAGTCCGCCACTCGAGAACCTTTTTTCCCCATCGGTTGTCGGTTCTTCGAGCTATATGGCCGGCCCATTGCCACTTCAGCTTACTAATCCGTGGGCTATGTCGGGTTGGGTTTAGAATCAAGTCGCCTGAATTTGAGGAGTCTGTCACACTTGAGGGGTCAAGGGGGCATTGCGCCCCCATGCAATTTTAGCTGCCGGAGTTGCGTCAAAATATTTAATATAATTTTCTAAAAATATTCATAAATCACTAATTAATACCTGAAATAGAACTTTTGACATTGACAGTAATCAGTAACAGATATACTCAACCAAAGAGAATATAATCATTACGTTTATACTAGACTTCGCGACTCGCGTCATAAGCGTCATTCCGTTGCTTCCGAGTTTACGCAATTCTGCTCCTTATTGTTATTGTCTGCATCCTGTTTTTGGACGACTTCGCTACCCCTCTGGAGACTCTGTAAATGGTGGAAATTATAAAATATGTTTATTTATTAAAGTAATTATAAAAGTTAACATTTTGGTGTTTTATTTGATGCAAGAGCAAGCGAAGCGATCTCTCGGGACTTGGGGCACCCCGACTCGGACACGTTAGGTTAGTAGGGGATGGCGGGGTTGAGTGAGCGAGCGAAGCGAGCGAACAGACCCCTCCATCCCATTCGTGGTTATTTTTTTTATAAATCATCCAGAAATAGGAGCCCCGCAAAGCGCCACCTTCCTTCAGTTGCGCCACGTTGAGTGCCGTGGGGCTACCTTCCCCCAACTCTCTGCCCCCACAAATCAGGTTTATATTGTCAAAAACATTCAATTTTATAAAAAAAAACTAAGCACGTCTGGCAGGAAATGGAACTGGAGGGTGACTCTACAACTTTCCAAGGCCTTCGACTGTGTTCACCATGAGATCATCAATCAGGAAGCTACAGTACTACAGTGTCACGAACACAACGCTTAAACTTATTCTTTCATATTCAAGTAATAGAATGCAGAAAGTTATTATCAATGGTAAAAGTTCTTCTGGCTTACCTGTACTAATGGGTGTCCCTCAGGGCTCGATTCTCGGCCCATTCCTGTTTCTAGTGTATATTAATGACTTACCTTCCCTTGTAGGGCATAATCATGATATAGTATTATTTGCTGATGATACTTCTTTGATTTTTATACTTAAACATCATTAAAATATTAACATCATTAAATCATTTAAATGTGACGAAGTGATTAATGCTATATCAAAATTAGTGTACTGGTTTAACGTTAATAATTCTACATTTAAACCAAAATAAAATGAAATGTATTAAACTTACAACATCGTATATTAAAAATCTGAATACCAATGTGTTTTTAAATGGGGAAGAACTGAGACTTGTTGTATCCACTGTTTTTCTTGGCATCACTCTCGACGCAAAGCTTCAGTAGGGCATATATCCAAACTAGCAAGCAGACTAAGTTCTGCAGCCTATGTTGTAAAAAAGAGAGTCCTCATTAGTGAGAGACAGCTAGATTAGTTTATTTCAGTTATTTCCATAGCACAATGTCTTATGAGATTTTGCTATGGGGAAAAGCGTTTGTCATTTTCGCCCGCTTAGGACGAAGACGTCCTTTACCGGCGCTCTTGACCCTCACCGTACCTTTTGGTTTACACCACTCTCACCTCCCTTCCCCTTACCCCTTGCCGACACCGGCGGAGGCCCTCGGACCGAGTCGAGATCAACGCTGCCTTGGTCACAGTCACTCTCGCTGATGTCGGTCCAGTCTCACTCCTCGAGGTGGAGGGCTGGGGATTAGAGTTGGGGCGGTTTAGGCTCCATTGCCGTGTCAGAGCCTCCTCTGACCTTCAAAGTTATCATTTTAAAGTCAAGGACGACTCCACCACCTGCCACCCGGAGAGCCTCCGCGGATGGGTCGCCCAGAGATAATGGTACTAGGAACCCATCTTCCTCGTCCCTATGGTGGAGGATTTTCCAGAGCTCGGTATGGAGCCCTTCATTTTGTACGCTCAACAGCACAGCCGCTTCCTCTGGAAAGTCAGCTTCGCTGCGGGGCAGAAAGGTAATGCCCAGTTGAGGCTTAGGAAGTTCGCTCTCGGGTATTATAGAAAGCTCTGCCTTCGGCCAGGGTTTCAGTTTTCCGACCTCACCTACAATACAGTCCTGGCTTGCCTTATTCAGGCACCTTACCAGAATCCAACCTGGCTTGTGGGCGAAACCCGAAAATGTTGGTCCCATTCACGGCTACGCTCCACAGGCCGTCTTAGCAATAGCCTGCGTTAGTGCCCGGTGGACCAGCCGCATCTCATTCGACTTGCGAATTCCTACACGCGCGGAGCCAGCTACGGCACTGAGGCTGCTTTTTCTCCCCCGTTGCCAGCTTCACAGATTTCCTGGGCTGGTCTTTGGGGGCTCCTCCACAGAAAAACTGCGTCTTTTCGTCTTCGGAACTGGGGGAGCTTTGGGCAGAGGAATTTCGTCCCAGGGCTTCTGGCAGAGAGAGAGGGCCTCTTCGGCTCCTGTCTCAACTGCTATTAGCTTTCGGTATCTCTTCCGTGCTGCCCCACTAAGCTTATAAAGCCTAGTGAACTTTTTATTTTCCTTTCGCTGGTTTGTTTCCGGCTGTAGTTCAACTGCAGACGTGCCCTCCACTGAGCCAAGGCTCATCCTAAGTTGGGGCGTAGGGTTGCAGGGTGTTAGTGAGACTAAAAGTACCTCTTCCAGACCTACAATCAGTTCCATTAAGGGAGAGTTTATTTTTGTCAAATGTCGATTTTCGTCCATATTGGTCCTACAATTAGCTAGGGAAAAACTCGGTCACGGGCTAAAATACTACCCGAATCGCCCTGGTCTCGGGTAGGCACCGTTTACGACTAGACTCCCCCCTAGCCACGCATCTATCGGCACGTTACGCTAACACCTTGGATTGGGTTGAGATAGGAAAAACGGGGGCGGGATAAAAAGAAAAAAAAAAGAAGATTGTCTGAGTGTTTCTGTTCTGTTTGTTTCCTATTGAACCAGATCAAATAACAGGCGGCAACCACGTGAAGGAAGAACTCCTCAGACTTGCCCTGGGGATCAACACGACCTGCGTTCTCCCCCAGACCCATTCGCCAAAAAGCTCGCCGAACAGGAGAGCAGAATAGGTGTTAATATAGTCCTACTGGTAATGTAAAAATGTGAGAATTAGAAGTAGACTGACCCCTGCCCATGGAATTAGTTATTACATTCCCTTTACATTTACATATTTACATATATAGTTGTTCGCGCCAAACACTTTCAAGGAACGAACGCGAGAGGGCGTGCGGCTCAGTGTCATACCGGTTTGACATTCGGTCGTGCGTAAAACGCCCAAGGGCAGTCGTCCTTAAGCGGTGCTAACGATTGGCACGCTGTATTCTGTTAGGGAACTCGGAATAATTCGGCGCGGCTAGTAAATATACGGTCTATCATTGTGACGCGCATTCCTGCTGGAGAGCTTCCCAGGGACTCATTGTGTTTGACTCAGAATCGGCATAAGTGCATTAGGCAATATTAGCTAGTGCGGCCTCACGATATTCTAGAACTAACTGTTGCGACGCGAAACGGTAGTGACCTTTAATAAACTGTAAACTCAGTGTGCGTTTTGTGTGTTAACCTTATAACCAGCGATAGTTAGTGGCTTCTGTAAGTTAGTAAATCGTACGATAGAGTTAATTGACTGTCAACGTGACGAAAGAAGAAAGTGACTGTGGATAACCTCGAAAGGCCCCCTCAAGTTGGAGCGGTGTCGACGCTCGGGCTGCTGCCGAAGGCTAAGGTCTAGGTTCAATCACCATCAGTCACACCCAGATACACACCACATCACCATTCTTTCCCTTGCACTACACAACCACATGCGACCTGACCGACTCCGGAGGGACCAGTCGCCTTGGATAGAGGTAAGTAAGCTTCGTCCAAATTCCTTCCGGTCGACTGGCCGTAGTATAACGCTCCCCCATATATTTTAGTGTAATTAGAGAGATTCCACGTGACCACATTGAGGCCCGACCTACGTTTGCTCGGGAAGTCTTCTGCTCATGGGCCCCAGAGGATTGGATCCTTTAAGGGAGCAACCGTAGGCCGTAACAATAGTTTTATTTCGTATAGTGATGGCGTAAGAGAATCCGCTATCCCATATCGTTCAATGGTTGTCGTGAAAGGCGAAAGAAAGAAATTAGAGAGGATATGGGCAGCAGCATCTTTGTGGTAAAAAATGATTAATAATAATAATTATAAAACTACGGTTGCCTAAGATATTTTCAAATTAAAAATAGGGTGGAAACCTACATATGCGTTCAGCAATAGACTTTTGATTAGGCTGTAATGATGATGACCTAGCAACACGTAGACAGAACTTAACGGTGTCGTCCCACTCCACACACAGGTAAGACCACGGAGGTGGAGCCGAAGTCCATCAAGTCTGGCGATGCGGCCATCGTGACGCTGGTGCCGACCAAGCCGCTGTGCGTGGAGTCGTTCCAGGAGTTCCCGCCGCTCGGCCGCTTCGCCGTACGCGACATGCGCCAAACCGTCGCAGTCGGCGTCATCAAGGTTACAATACCAGTTCGTCTATTTTTCTTAATATAAGGAAGGATGACATACGAAAGTAATGTCCGCCTGATGGTAGGTGGAAGCTTTGGCCCATAGATATCTACACCTATCTCTATTAAGAGTGAAAATGCAGATGCGTTAAGCGTTAACACCTTCCAGAAAAGTGATGCTTTGCGGTGCAGTTCTCTCACCATCCGAAACAAATATAACAGTTATTTGTAATAATGTCTATAGTTCGGCATATAAGTGACCAAAGCATTTTGGCCTTAGAATCTAACATGTCTGAATTAATTTGTGTAAAATTTTATTAGATAAATTGCTAAAATGTTTACATAGTTAGAAAAATCGTTATTTTATGTCGTTGACAAAATGGTAAGTCCTCTGAACGATGAAATTATTTTAGCAAAGTGATGAACAAAAGGAGATATGATGATTTTTCAATTATATTTTTCTAATTATCATACTCAAATAAAACATCGACCCTCTAGAAAGCCAGTAATATGTCATTCCGGACCGGTCCGACCATTTTACAAGATATGTATCGATACGACAAATAAGTTTTTCGCAAAACTATTAAACTGTTTCAACCCTGCAAGAATTTTTATCTATAATTTATCAAGACAAGTAAAAGTCTGTTCAATTTGAAATTTCTATAATTTTTAAAATATAAACAAGAAAGGCGTAACCAACAACACGATTAAATGTAATAATATTTAGAAAATTAAGTCACATCTAGAATTTAAAAAAAATCAACTATCAATAAAACAATTCCATTTGATTTCAGAGCGTTACATTCAAGGAGGTAACTACGGGTAAAATTACCAAAGCCGCCGAGAAGGCCCAGAAGAAAAAATAACTATGGGGCACATTAATCATTGTACTGCAGCCGGTAGCGGTCGTCTGCAATATTGCGCCATTCCTCTCCCCCTTCTTTATCCTGGTTCTTCCCATTATCTTCCCAATACTCCCTTTCAAACCCGCTGTATTCCGGGATAACGGGCGCTTGTCAGACGATTACTCCGATGCATCGGTCATCAACAAGTCCTCACTATCGTTGTCGTGTCCCCGTATCTTCAACAATCATAGCTTCTTCACTGGTGACATCACTCTCGTCCCTATTACGTGCATTTATCGTAGCGAGATATGTTTAAAATTAGTTCGTTTAAGTTACGCTTATGTGTTAAGTTTATGTATTTATGATTATTTTAGTCGTAAGTTACTCGCCAAGTTTGAGTTTCCGCACTTGAAAGCTCGTTACGTTCTGTTTTTCCATCGCAAGGAGTTCAGGAGGAAAAGCAACGGCGCACTGATTGGATTTTTAAACCATTTCACTACGTCGTACTCGTTCACTCGTTATTTTGTGTAAAAACACTATCTTCACCCATTTTATTTATTCATCTATCTCTTCCGTTAGCATTTTCAATTCTACCTTTAATGAAGTTTCCATTTTCCTATGTTAAATATATTCCTTTGTAAATTTTATTTCATTCTTAATTAAAGTTATAAAGTTTTAACAGTATTTTAAGTGTTATTCTCGTACAGTAGAGGATATGTAGGGTTTTAAGCGTAAAGCAAAACATCAGAGTGTGTAAGAAACGAGTTGAATGTAAATTCAAGGAAAACAACTTCCTTCTGCGTGAATCCCATATCTCTGGTGTCCTTTCACCTATAGGACCCAAATTCAAGCTCGATCGAGCTACTACCTCAAGGTATCCACATACCAAATTTAAAGTCAATCGGTCCAGTGGAACGTAAGTTATCGTGTCGGCATACAGACTAACAGACTGCCAGCTAAAACCATTAACTTCCTTTCAATGCTACGCAGAAGGAAGTTAACAAGGGACGGTTGTGAATCGGCTCCCTTTAGTTGAATTAGTATTACGATCATAAAGCGTTAAGAACGTTTTTATAGAAATTTGAGAAATGTAAAGCGTAGGCAAAATAATTTTTGTTCCTAATCCATTTCTTTGTGAAACTAAATTTATTTGGCGTTGCAATTATATCTAAGTGTAAAGGTTTAAACATTCAATTGAAATAGCTGTACTTAGATGATTTTATATTATATATTTCATATTCATATAGATATGAATAAAACTTGAAACTCATTTTAAGCTAAATGTATCTTTGTAATTTTTTCAATGATTTTGTAAAGACCTTAATCCTGATAAAACCAATAAAGAAGCTACTGGTAAATGTTCGTTTTAATTTGCAATTCCTTAAAAGTAATATTTTATCCAAATTACATTTGTTCGTTGGAAAACGTGACAAGTTCGATACCTCCTAACAACATACCAGGTTGTCGGCTTCGTCGATAAAAGAGTAGTGATTGGAACGAGCACCAGCTCCATAACAGTTACTTAAGTCATGAGATCTATAGGAATATACCCTTGTTCATGTTCTGGTTCTTGTAACTGCTAATAACAGTTTTTGTCTTATGAACGAAAGTGTATACCCAAATTATGTACACAGCTGGTACGTCGCCCTTTTCTATCTAGATACATCATTACACAATACTAAGAGAAGAGTAAGATTTCTTTTGAATAAAACTTGTTTTACGGATTTTTTCGCATATATTAACTAGTTTTATATAAGCGTGTAGTGCTCGCGAAAATATAAGAAATCATTAAGACAAACTTATTCAAAATTGATGACTTCAGTAGACGTCGCTATGACGTATAATTTTAGTGGAAAGAAAATATTCTTCGGATTTAATTCGTAGGTACACTAAAATTTCTAGTTTTATTTAAATATGTACTGTTTGTGTAAACATAAGAAATCATTAAGACAAACTCATTTAAAAATGATGACTTATTAAAAATGATGATTACTATTACAAATAATTTTAGGAGAAAGAAAATATTCTTAGGATTTATTTAATTCGTAAATTATTTAGGCTCTTCTCTTTAAACTTGTACGTAATCTTTTTACGTATAAATATACCACAAAACGCAAGCGCAAACGCAAAACACCATAAAACGTTTTCCTCGAAGTTTTTCTTTTATTTTCGGAAATAAATAAAAATTGCAAGGTACGAGGTCGGGGCTATAGGGCGGGTGACCCAGTAATTCCACGTCTGACGTCGCCAAGTATTCGCTTGTTTGCTTGGCGGTGTGCGACGAGGCGTTGTCGTGGTCAAGGACGATCCTACTGCGAGGTCGTTTCTCCCGAACTTTTTCTAGACAAGTGGCAAACAATTTTTTTTTATAGGATAAGGGTGACAAACGAGCACACAGTCCACCTGATGGTAAGTGGTTGCTGCGGCCCATATACATCTACATCTATCTTCGATTACGAATCAAAATGCAGATGCGTTGTCACCCGTGAGGACTAAGATGGAATGCCTCATTTCCAGTAAAAAGGGTCAATTGTTAGTATACCACTCTGCAGTAAATGTTTTTCAATCCTCTAAAACAATTGTTGCGTAGCAACTCCTCGGAAGGACAGACTCCCAGACAGCAGAGTGTCTCTTAGTTTCAGGACCATAACAATAAATCCTGCTTTCGTTAGCCGTAAGTATGTCTAATGCAGCATTTGAGTCACCTACGTTAAATCTTTGAACCAATTCACGACACCAATCAACACGACGGAGTTTTGGGCCTCTGCCAAATTATGAGGAATCCACCGGGCGCAAAGTTTTCTGATCGCTAAATGTTCATGGAGGATTTTGTGCACTTGACTCATATCGATGCCTAAGCTTGTCCGAATCTGCTGATAAGTCACTCTTTTGTCAGTCTCTATCATACGCCGCACAACACTGATGTTATCTTCAGTTGTCGCCGTAGAAGGTCGTCCCTCACGCAGATCATTGGTGAGATTAGTGCGACCACTTTTAAACTCATTAAACGAGTTGTAAACAGTGGTACGAGATGAGGCTTCATCGTCATAAAAAATCATTGTACAAAATGTTTCTCGCGTTAATTTTATGCTGACGTAACACAGACAATTTTTAATTTGCCGCCAAATCGTAAACAAATGACAAATTAATAAAATACATACACAATAATATTGGCAAAGAGTTCCGTTTTCAAAATTTTAACTTATTTTTTTATTATATCGTTTATAAGTGGCCACTTCTAAAAACTTTCAGTGTCGCCCTCGTATTTGCAGGAGAAATGTATTATGAATTTTTCATGTGAAACTTTATTCGATAAATAATATGTAACAGAAACTATTTTTTAAATAGATCTATATTAAAAGAATGTATTAAACAAAATAAAATTACTATAAAATAAGCAGCGTTTCGCGCGTTCTTCAAACTCAAACCCATTACCCGCTCGTCTTCGTAAGACTTTAGTATAGAAAAATCTCCAAAATGGACTCCATTATTTTCGAGAACAAGGTGATGGCGATAGGCCTGTAGTCGGACGGATCGGAGTGATTACCTTTTTTAGGGATCGGGTGCACGAAAGCAAGACCCTTTTTACTGGAAAACAGGCATTCCATCTTAGTCCTCACGGGTGAAAACGCATCTACATCTGGATTCGCAAACGAGGATAGATGTAGATGTCTATGGGCCACAGCAACCACTTACCATCAGGTGGACTATGTGCTCGTTTGTCACCCTTGTCAACTCCGGAGCACACGTCTTTAGCACAATAGGTGCGAGTCCATAAGGCCCACTCGACTTGTTGACGTCCAGGGAGAGGAGTGCTTTACGCACCGAGCGCTGTGTAAACAGCACTTCCTGTATGGACCACTCACACCGCGGGATGGTAGGCGGTGTGTTCCTAACGTCATCTAGAGTCAAGTTGGAAGCAAGAGAAGAGCCTAGCAGATCGGCTTTCTTCTTTGCGCCATGGGCCAGTGAGTCATCCACCATGTGCAGAGATGGCAGAGATGGCTGACAGAAGTTCCCATGGACAGCCTTGGCGAGAGACCAGAATGCACGTGTTCCCGAAGGGAGGTGAACTAGTTTCTCGCCAATTCTGCCGATGTGCTCTGACTTGGCAGTGACACTTGAAGGACCTGGAGGCGGAATTATACTTCTTTTTAAGAGGGACGTTGATGCATCAGTCCAGGCCCAGTAGCACTCCTGCCTATAGCGTGATGCAATTTTACAGGAGTGACCAAACCATGGCTGATTTCTGCCTCCGATAGGCACCACAGAAAATGGAATAAATAATTCAAATCCCTGAAGTACCACATCAGCGACAGAATCAGCAACAACGTGGGGATCATCCGGCGAGAAGCGAACCTGCCCCCAAGGGTAGGATGCAAAAAAGACCGCATCCCGTCCCAATCGGCCAACCTATAGTGCCAAACACGGCGGCAAGCTGCAGATCGCAACATGATAATGATCATGAACATGATCCTCCACATCTGGGATCCGCGTAGGCGAAGTAACCAGTTGTGTCAGACCATATGTCAAGGCAAAATCATAAATAGATCTACCCGCATGATCGGTTAAACGGGAACCAAGCCATTCAGCGTAGTGGTCGTTAAAATCATCGAGCATTACGATCTCTACAGATGGGGCCTGTTGTAGCACGGTGTCTGCAGCCATTTGAACGTGGTCGAGGAGTGGATCTGTGTCGGCATTACCGCTATGGGACCTATAGAGGCACCTGTAGACGTTGGGATGGTCGTCGATTTCTACGCGCAGCCATAGAATGGACAGTGCCGTACCTTCAAGACTGCCGAGGCGTCGAAAACAGATGTCCTCTCTGACGTACACGCAAGCTCCAGCCCGGGGGCACAAAGGAGTGTTCTAATTTGTACCCCGGGTAGGAGAGATACGAAGTATCAGCCGGAGAGGACACCTGTGAGGATAGAGCAAGACCGGCTTTGCCGTCTCCAGATGGTAGTGGACGGCGTTAAGGTTTGAATGAAGTCCCCTGATATTGCAAAAATTCACCG